AAAGGAAAAGGGTGTGGTGCATGCGATCAGCCGAGCTCAAGTAAGTACTCCCAAATTACCCATACAAGTTTATGTTGTAATTATCAGTTCAGTTTCAGTAGAACAACATGCTATAATAGGACTAAGGATCTAGGAGGATGCCTTATGTGCCTGTTATATGTGTTTCAGCTTATTGAGAATTGCATGCTAGTATTGAGTAGATAGCAGTAGGATAGCATGTTTAGGTTATGTCTGATAGTATGAGCTTAGCATTGTATGCTAGTATAGTTTCTCGTTATGAGGATAGATTTACAATAACACCAAAAACTGATTTCGATTGAACAAATCAGAAACTGATAGCATAACATCAAGACCTGATTTCGATTTTTGATTTTCGAGTTTGGGGGAAAGAAGGAATAAATAGAAGAAGAGAAACGAACACATACTGATTTCGATTTTCGATTTTCAGAAGAAGAGAAACGAACCTGCTTTAGGGCACAATCCAAAAAAACAAGTTGGAGACGGAGCGAGTGTGGCGACGACGGCGTTGCAGGGATGCAGCGGCGTCGGAGATTTTGTGGTGAAGGGAAGCAGACGCGAAGGGAAGCAGACACACACATAAGAGAAGAGGAGGTGTATTTTGTTCGATCGTGGTTTAGGGCAAAATAGGAAACACGACCTTTTTAAAAAACTCAGACTTTGTTCAATATCTGAAAAATTAAGAGGCATTTATAATATTAGGAGGTAAAAAATAAGATGCAAACAAACGATCTGAATCTGAATTTTTAAGACATTGCCTCTTAATTTTGCAATTAAGAGGTAAACAAACAGGGCCTAAGAATTTGTAACATCTTGATTTCCAGGTATGAGATTTATTCTTTATTAAGCAAGTTTCCCTTGGAACTCGGCGAGTTGATGGCCTCAACTCGACGTGTTGAAGTGCTTTGGGTCGTGCATCTTTTTGGACCAACTCGTCGAGTTGGTGAGGAAAACTCAACGAGTTGGTGGCTGGGTGAGAAACCCTAAATTTTAGGGTTTGCACCCTATATAACCTCCTTAAGTCCTTGAGGCTGATATTTTATCAGCCTCCAAACCCTATTATCGGCCTTGTGAACCCTAATCATCATTTCATCTCATATTGTGAGCTAGTGTGGCAATTTGGAGCAAAAGAAGGAGAAGATTGAAAGAAGGAGTCAAGGATCTAGTAAGTTAAGCTCTCGTCTTCAGTTTGGCACTCTTTTGGACCGTTGTAAGTATTCAAGATCCGATTTTTATCTATCTATATAACTAGATCTTGAGTTTGGTCCCTTTTTCTCCTTATTCTTGGATGTTGCAATGGATGGACTTCATAAAGTTTGCAACTTTATGAATCTCCTGGTCAAGTTGACCTTATAGTAAGTTAGATTTGGTCTTTAGCCAAGCTTTGATGCCATGCATGGAGTTTAGGTCATATTTTCCCTTTTTGACCTATTTTGGGTTCAAGACATGCATTGGTCATGCATGTCTATAAAGCACCAACCTTTAGGACGTTTTGAGGCTAGAATCTCTTCTGGAAAAGTTGGATTCTAGATCTCAAGGATTTTGTGCTTAATGGTTAAGCCTTTGAGCTTTCAAGCCTTGTGGAGGGGTTTTTGAGCATTTGGAGTAGCCCCAAAGGATAAAGTTGGAAACTTTATCCTTTTAGACACATTTGGAGTTTAGATCTGAGCCTTAGAGTCCCTGGAATCGAAGAATCAGTTGTATGTGTTAAGTTGGAAAAAACTCGGCGAGTTGGCTAGGGTTTTCCCCGATTTTCTGAGTACTGTAGAACTCGACGAGTTCAGAGGTGCACTCGACAAGTTGGGTCAATATGGACTGCTGACCTTGACCGTTGACTTTGACTTTGACCATGGTTGACCAAGTTGGACTTTTGAGTGTATTTTGGGTATTTTGGGATTTTGATGGGATTGGTCATGATGGTTGTAGGCTTTGAGTCAGGAGCTGAGATTCGGAGTCAGACCTTATCAGTTCTGCACTACTTGTGAGGTGAGTTTCCCTCATTGTACTTACCGGTCGAAAGCACCAAGACCGGCCCTTTGGATTGTTTTCCTGATTATCGTATGATTGAGTATCGTAGTGATCTGTTAGATCTTAATCCTGGTAGATAGGATGATGCTATGCTTATTAATCTGTATGATATGTGCTTGTATGTTGATTGATTATATGTTTATGAGTTATGTATATGTCGACATGTGTTTGGTTGGGTTGAGGCGGTCATGCTTTATGTTGAAGGCCAACAGACCCAGGGCGGCCCGGATAGACTGAAGGCCTGCGAGGCGGACCAGTCAGGCCGAAGGCCCAGAGAACGGTCCAGACAGGCTGAAGGCCCGGTGTGGCGGTCCATACATGCTGAAGGTTCTGTATGCGTGTTGTTGTGTGATAGTTATGATTATGTATTGTGGTGGTATTTTAGGGAAGACTCACTAAGCTTTGGGCTTACAGTTTTGGATTATGTTTCAGGTACCTCAGATGATCGCGGGAAGACGAAGGCTTGATCGTGCACCTCCTCGTGTTTTGTGTTATGATTTCTGGGAAAACTATGATGTGAAACTTATTTTGAAAACAAATTGTAATAAATGATGGTTTTGTGGTTATTTAAAAAGTTTAAATTTTTTTCGAATGTTACACAATTAATCAGAAATTAATTAGAATTAATTTTGGGATTAATTAGATTAATTAATAGTGCAAGGACTAAAGATGTAATTGTTCAATAGTTGAATGAGAGAGGAATTCTAGAGAATTCCTGTGGTTGGCCGAAAATCAGAGGCTCCCTAGGGTTTATGGAATTTTTCATATGGATAATATGAATAATTAGGAAGGTGGATAATTCCAGATTTGAAATAATACTATTTTATTTCAAATTAGGGTTTCTAGGGTTTTCCTATCAGCTATAGATAGGGTCCTTAGGCATCATATTTTTTGCCACTCATACTCCTAGAAGGATAGCCAAAAATCATCCCATCTCCTATCTCTTTCTCTCTTCAAGTTTCCTTAGTTGTTAGGGTTTGGGTGTGAACCATCAGAGGCAGACGATTTCTGGTGCTTGCTTCCAAGAACTTTTGAAGAAGGATTTCATTGGTTATTTACAAGAATAATCAAAAGGTATGTAAACCCTAACTCTCTTATGAATTTCGATTAAACTAGAGTTTTCCATAGGGTTCTTTGATGTTTATAGATTATAACATTCAATAGTGAAAATATAGATCCAATTAGGTTGCATGTGAACTTAAGAGTTAAGTTATTTTTCGCCACATGATTTTTGTAACCTATAAAACTTATCATATTATGGTTATATATGTCTTTGGAAACAGTTACGAATGTCTACCATCTTAACCCCCCCCCCCCCCTCATTACCACATTTGTACATGACATGGAGCTTTTGTTATTGTTGTTATGGTTATATTGGTTTTCTACATTCTTTCTATATCTATAAGAATTCATTAAAGGATAAATTACAGAATTAAGGTGATTATTCTACCCTATGAATACTTGTCCCCAATATATGATATACTTAGACTTGTGTTTTTCTTATGTGTAATATTATATGTATATATTGTTTGGCTATTATGTGTCACCCAGGGTTAGTAGTTTTGACATTTAAAAAGAATAAAAAAAATATCACAAATAATTATTTTGATGAAGTAATTGATCAAAGTGTAAAAATACAATACTTAAGGGATTAAATTAACTAAAAATATAATTAATTAAAATTGTCTAATTAAGATTTAAAATTTAATAACAGAGAGTTAAATAATTTTGAAATATTCTAAATTAATTAAATAAAAAAAGTTACTCAATTTTAAGGTTTATCTAGATAAAATTAAATAAAATAATTTTTTTATAAAATGAAGGTAAGAGAATATAAAAGTCTTGGGGTTAATTTTCAACTCTGAAAACTTATCTAGATATAATTAAATAAAACTAAATTAAATTAAAGAAAAATTAAAGTAAAAGGATATAAAAGTTCAGGGGCTAATTTGCAGTTTTGGAAACACCATGTTTGTCAAAGGAATCCGGTTTGGGGATAATACTGCCAACAGATCAGATCATAGGAACCAATCTTGGAAATCTTGGAAATATGGTCAGACGTTGCCCCCCTGCAACACGACGCATCATCGGGACTTCTTCTTTCTCGTTTTTGGAACCTGGAAAGCGGATATCTTCGAAAGCCATAAGATCCTAACTCTAAATTATATATTTGAGCCGGAAAACCGAGAGAAAACGAGGGAGAAAGTGTGGTTGCCGATTAGGCTTTAAAAAAAAAAAAAAAAAAAAAAAAAGCTGCTAGACTCGTTATCAAAAGGCATGTACAAGCTCCCTCTCACCCCTATCAAGGTTCCCAACCCCTCCCCGAAGCCGCCTCCGGCAGCCCTTAAATCGCCGGAAAATGCACCTTTGCGGCATATATTCTTCTAAGATGTTTACAGACGAGATGGGGGTTCGTATCTCTTGTTAAAGGTGTTACTTAACTCACCATGTTAACGGCTAGTACAAAAAAAACAATTTATTTTCCTTGATTTCGTCCCAAGAAACTTACAATTACACTTGTGGAATGTTTTCTGGCCGTTTGAATCTGATTTATGACTTCTTTTCTTCTGACTAGACACGTATTGTGTATTAGTCAGAAGAAACAACGGTACCGCCTCAATATATAATCTACGGTGCAATGTAAGCTATATTAATTTGTTGTGAAGTATATGCCGTGTCGTTTAAACTTTAAAGTATATGTGGTGTGTGTATAGTATATATGGTGCTTTAAACAACTTTTGTGGTAAGCTCGGGACTGAATCAAATCCGCAATAAATGCAAATTTAAGGATGATGTCCAGAAAATTTGAAAAGATGAGCCATAGTTGCAACTTTGAATAGATCAGGGACCAAATTTATAATTGCTATTTAGGGGGTGTTGAATTGTTGATGATGATAACCATGAGGTTACGTGTTTGTATAGATCGATATATATAAACCTAGCTTATTTCATTGTTGACGATAGTAAGCAGAGATGACGGTGAATATCACAGCAATCAAAACGGCATCAGATGGAGTTTGGCAAGGTGACAATCCCTTAGACTATGCATTTCCATTGTTGATTATCCAAACCACCCTTGTCCTCGCCGTCGGCCGCTCATTAGCCTTCCTCCTCAAGCCTCTCCGTCAGCCCAAAGTCATCGCCGAGATCGTCGTATGTTCCTCCATTTCTCTACTACATACATGTTAATATATTCTTTCAAATCTACAATCACCGGTCCGGTCGTACGTCTCATTTTTCCGGTGTCTCTGTTTTGCACTTTACGAACTAGCGGTACTGGCCGGAACTTTCCGTGTTAGTCACGTTTTATGATTTTTCGATCACTCCTTTACTGAAAGTTAGACATTCGTGTTACTTACATTTTGCTGCTTAAAAATTATAATCGTATAATTTATTCTGAGACAACATTTCATCTTCAGGGTGGGATCCTATTAGGACCATCTGCGTTGGGCCGGAATCAAGAGTACATGCACCGGATTTTTCCCCGATGGAGTTCTCCCATCCTTGAGTCTGTCGCAAGCATTGGACTGCTTTTCTTTCTTTTCTTAGTCGGTCTGGAGCTTGACCTGAGCTCCATCCGCCGGAGTGGAAAACGAGCATTTGCAATAGCAGCCGCCGGAATCTCGCTCCCTTTCATATTCGGTATCGGAGTTGCATTCGTTCTACGGAAAACAATCGACGGAGCTGATAAAGTCGGCTATGCTCAGTACTTGGTGTTCATGGGAGTGGCTCTGTCCATCACAGCTTTTCCGGTGCTTGCACGTATTCTGGCGGAGTTGAAGCTCTTAACCACCAGGGTCGGCGAGACCGCCATGGCTGCCGCCGCGTTTAACGATATCGTGGCGTGGATATTGCTTGCCCTCGCCGTCGCACTTGCTGGAAACGGCGACGAAGGTGGGCCTCATAAAAGCCCATTGGTTTCTGTGTGGGTCCTTCTTTCAGGTTTGGGTCTTCCTTTCTATCTACTTTTGCTTTTCAAGTGTCACAAGATTAATGATACATAATCACAAGAAAGTCAAATCTTCATAAATATATCAAGACTTGTAACATGTGATTTTGAAATTGTACAATCGAGTACAACTCCCCCTTTTATGACTTGTAAGACGTGCAACAAGCGAAATAACAATTCAAGTCAAATTCGATGCAACAGTTTCTATATATGTTACATAGATTGATTTTAATTCGTCATTAAGGAAAACAAAAAAAAGAGTAGCTCAAAAGAAAACGAAACAACTTATTTAGAAAGTATTGAAAATGCATTAAAATGTTTATAACCTTGTTAATGTTTATTAAGAAAATAAATAATTATTTTAATAAATTTCTTATAACTATATAAAATATATATGAATTTTAAAATGATAGATATTGACTCAAGAAAAACAAAAAGAACTTGCTCAAATGAAAACTAGAAAAAATCGAAAAAAACAATAAACTCTTTATAATTGTGTTGGTAAAAGGAAAAGAAAATTATTATTTATAATGATGACACTTCAAATAAATAGAAAAAAAGTATCAAAAAGTTCTACTCGTTTTATGCAAAGTCGGCATGTTATTCGACCCAAATAACTTGTGCATCCACTTATAAGTCTATGGATGAACAAATTTAACGAATTTACATGAAACTGAAACGGATGTATGATTTTTATTTAGCTTATATGGCTTGTTTTTACACAAATTGATTATTGATTCGAATAGCTTAGTTCGTAAAATTGCAAAAATAAAAAAATAAAAATAAAAATAATAAAAAATTAAACAGTTTGGTTTATTTGATTAATATTTTCTTCAACTTTTTTTCATAATTTTGTCAGGAGTTGCTTTTGTGATCTTTATGATGCGATTCAGATAGCTTTGTTCGTAAAATTGCAAAAAAATAATAATAATTAATTATTTAATTAAAAAATTAACCAGTTTGGTTTATTTGATTAATATTTTCTTCAACATTTTTTCATAATTTTGTCAGGAGTTGCTTTTGTGATCTTTATGATGGTTGTGATCCGGCCAGCCATGAATTGGGTGGCTCATCGGTGCTCACCGGAACACGACACAGTAGACGAGGTCTACATTTGCTTGACACTAGCCACCGTCATGGTTTCCGGCTTCATTACAGATCTCATCGGCATACATTCCATTTTCGGAGCTTTTATCTTCGGACTAACCATCCCCAAAGGAAATTTCGCCGAGAAATTGATAGAAAGAATTGAAGACTTCGTCTCCGGATTGCTACTCCCACTATATTTTGCTTCCAGTGGTTTAAAAACTGACGTCACAAAAATTAGTGGAGGGAAAGCATGGGGCCTACTAGCGATGGTAATCACAGCGGCATGCGGTGGGAAGATTTTTGGGACTTTTGTGGTGGCGGTGATGTGTATGATTCCAGTGAGGGAATCACTTACGTTAGGGCTGCTGATGAATACTAAAGGATTGGTCGAACTCATTGTTCTTAACATCGGCAAAGAAAAAAAGGTTAGGGTTTCTTCATTGCAACTCAATTTTCTAATTTCAATTATCAGGCTTTAGGGTTTCTGACGTTCTTCCATTCGGTCAAATTGATTGCGTAAACCATTTTGTTAGGTTCTGAACGATGAGGTTTTTGCAATACTGGTTCTCATGGCACTTTTCACCACTTTCATCACAACTCCGACAGTCATGGCCGTCTACAAACCTGCCCGGAGCAGCGGCGGTAGAAGGTCATCCTCCGGGAAGAAATACGATCTCAGAGTATTGGCATGTGTTCACGGCCCTGGAAACATATCCTCATTGATCAACTTGATCGAGTCAACTCGGTCTGTGAACAAAACCCGGCTCAAGCTCTACGTACTCCACCTGGTTGAACTCACTGAACGTAGTTCCTCGATTGTGATGGTCCAACGGGTCAGAAAAAACGGTCTCCCGTTTGTGAGCCGGTTTAACTACACAGCACGTGCATTTCACGAGAGAGTGGCGGTTGCATTCCGAGCTTATGGCCAGATGGGTCAAGTCGTGGTTCGAACTACCACCGCTGTCTCAGCACTGCCAACCATGCATGAGGATATATGCCACGTGGCTAAAGAGAAAGGAGTGCCAATGATTATCTTATCATTCCATAAACGGTGGATAAAAACGGAGGGTCCAGATGTGATTGAGAATGTGGGCCATGGCTGGAGAGGTGTCAATCAGAGGGTTCTGAATAAAGCTGAATGCACGGTGGCGATATTAGTTGATCGAGGGCATGGTGATGAATCCCAACAAAATGGCTCCGACACCACGGTAGCACAAAAGGTGTGTGTAATGTTTTTTGGTGGACCTGATGATCGTGCATGTTTGGAATTGGGAGGAAGGATGGTGGAGCATCCGGCTGTGAACGTGACGGTTTTGAGATTTGTGGAGGAGAACAGGGCAGAACACGATGGTGTTGGGCTGAAACCGGCTCCCAGTAAAGGCAGAGATAAATATACCTTCTCTACCACAGTTATCCATCCCGAAAAAGAGAAGGTACAATTTATCTTTCTTTTTTAATAACACATGTTTTTTAATAAAAAAATACATTTTTTTTATATTCATTCAGGAGAGCGATGAAAAGGTGATGGATGAATTCCTGAGAAAGTGGGAAGGAATGGTGGAATACAAAGAAAACGGTGGAAACGACATCGTTGAGAGCATATTGAGAATAGGAAAAAGCGGTGAGTATGATCTAATTGTTGTAGGCAAAGCACGGTGCCCCACGGCTATGGTGGCTAGGTTAGGTGACCGGCAACCGGAGCATGCAGAGCTGGGTCCGGTTGGAGACCTGTTAGCCTCTTCCAACCATGGTGTTGTGTCTTCTGTGCTTGTGATTCAACAACATGATAAAATTGTTTCAGAAGAATCTCCAAGTCAGAATGAAGAGGCAGCAAATGAGGTATAGCTACGTGTCATAATTGGAGAATAAGTGCTACGTTATTGTAAAAAATGCACAAGAGTGGAAAAGAATCATATATAGTTTTTTTTTTCAATAGATGTTATACAAGTATTGGAATTCCAATTGAAATTCTTACCAACAATAAACAATTAACAAATGGTTTAAGGTTTTTTATACCAAATTACATGACCAGAAAAATAAAAACGAAAGACAGACCAAAAGAATTTGAACCCTTCAACAATGTATACCATTACAATTACTTCTGTTTTAGTTGGGCAATTAGTTGCCAACTGCCCAACTTGTTGACCAATTAATTGTACATATATATAAAGAATAAGTACAAACCACTAACCTCAGTGAAAGCCTGCCCCAGACCAATCTGATTTCCCCCCAGTACGGGCAGGGGTTTTACCATTGGATGGTTTCTGGTAGAAACCATCATCATCATCATCATCATCATCATCTTTATCATCATCCCACCCTCCCCAGCTGTCACCCCCTTTATGAGATGATACACTAGTAGTTTCAGATGTGGGCTTTCTATAACCATCGTTATCCCAATCATCCCAACCACCAACGAAATTCGCATTTCTGCCTGATGAGCTCTTGGAAATTCCATTCCTGCCATTGGAGTTGGAGTTGGAATTGGAATTGGAATTCCAGCCTTTTGACTCCTGATAAAACCCATCTCTTGATTGTGTTTGGTTCCAGGAGGGACCTTGACCTTGACCTTGACCTTGACCTTCTTTGGCATACTCTTCAACCTTCTGTGTAGCCAATGCCATGACACCTCTCATGATGCCCCACGTCATGTGTCCGATTTCAGTTGTTTTTGCAGTCACAACATTCACAGTCTCATTCACCTTGTGATCATAGCCCCCGTCTCTCACCTAAAAATAAAATAAAAAATTTCTAAATTGGTTGGGGCCTTGGGGATATGAATCACAGATAAAGAAGAGCATATGTCTATGTGTGAATCCTTTGTTGTGAAATTATAAACCTTTGTAGTGAATTCCTTAGTACCAGCTTGAACCACGTTGGCAGCTGACTGTGCAGCAGATGCAGCAACAACGGATAACTTACCAAGTCCCTGCACAAACATATCATTTTTCATACAATCAGCATCAAATAACTTATCTGACCAATATCAGATATTTATATAGATATGTATCCTAGCAACCTCACACTCACTCAACTATGTATAATCATTATCGAACACTACATATATGCATCTATCATATTAAAGAGAGAAAAGCTCATTAGGATGTTTATGTGAGATTCAACAAGAGATGATGAGGATAGACACAACAAACAGAAACTAAATGTAAATAATCCAACACGATAGATACGGAAAATGTTGATTCAGAAGATTAGATGCAGTACCTGAGTGACCGAAGATAAAACATCTCCTTGAGAATTACTCCGTGGCATGTTATTTGGGGACGATCCGAACCCGACATACTTCCCACCTTTGGAGGGCGGCAATCCCTCCGTCCTTGATTCGTTCTCCGCCATCCTCCTTGCGAAAAAATCCTCCTTTGAGGCAGCAGACGCCTCTAATTGCGACTGTGTATACAAACTCTGCGTCGATCTTGACCTAGCCGGCGCCCCACCACCACCGCTACCGCTCCTGAAATCACCAACCGTCTGATTCCTCCTCATATTATCCGCAGATCTGAAACCATCATCATCGAAACTGTTATCCCCCCAATGATCATCCCACCCACCAACTCCCTGATTATTACTAACCTTAGCCCCACCCCCGCCCGGCATTGGAGGTTTCTTTTTACTGCCACCTTTGATCGGGCTCTCCTTCACAACCGGCGGATCCCGCCATTGTTTACCTTCTGCCAGGGCTTGGATTCGGTCGCGATAAACCGATGCCCCGTTGGAATTATATTTCGGAATTATGTCGGTTTCTTTCGGGATACCATACTCGGCCAAAAAATTGTTAAGCTTTTCGTTGCCGCCGGATTCCATTTTACGGAGCTGGATCTCGGACCATGAATCCATGGTGACCGATCGCACAAAGGAGATGTGCACACCGAGGCCACGGTGCTTGCCGGAGCACTCCAAGCACATAAAAATGCCATAGGATACGGATGCCCACTGAGGGTTCTTTTGTGAGCAATCGACGCAGATCATGTTGCCTGGTTGCGATTGTAGGTCACGGAGACGCCGTGATGCCGCCATTGTCAATTTTACGCCGGTGAGATCCGATCGGCGTTCGATTGTACTCGGATCTGCGACAAAGAATTTGATGAATTCAAATTTTATCAGGGAAATCTGTTAGGGTTTACGTTTCCGGAGATAGAGAAAGAGGTTATGCGGATTTGCCGACAACGTCGGCAAATGATATTGGGCTGATCTATTGCGGCAGCGAATTGGGGGTGAACGCTATATTTGATTTCCAGATGGGATGATGTCATTTAAGGGGTATTTGCTATATTTGAGTTCCAGATATGATGTCATTTAAGGGGGGTATTTAATTATTAAATATGCTTATTAATTTGTTTTTTTTAATAGAGTAAGTATGCCTTATTAGTTTATGTATTATAAGAAATAAATATTTAAAAATATATTTGGATTACCTTATTTGTATTAAAAATATGTTTGGATTAATTTAAGAAGTTATAAGTTGATAAAATTATATATATATATATATATATATATATATATATATATATATATATATATATATATATGTATGGTGAGGTTCAATAGAGAACCATAATTAACCAAGAAACCAAGGAACCAATCTTTTTTTCAACTTTTAAAACTTATTTTTTATCAAAAAAAAACTAAAAATACAGAAATTCATAACTTTTTATCCTTTTTCCAATGATATCAAATTCGAATTTTTTTTTACGTCAAATTCACAATGTGAATCTTTGAAAATTCACAATGTGAATCCGGATTCATACGGTGAATCCGAAAAATATTTTTCACATTCACAATGTTAATATATGAATTTAGATTTTTTTAGATTTTTTTTTCGATAAAGAATAAGCTCTAGAAATTGAAAAAAATATTTGGTTCCTTGAAGAACCAATAATTTATGGTTCTCTATTGAACTTTTCCCTATATATATATATATATATATATATATATATATATATATATATATATATATATGATTAATTTATAATCATTTTATATTCATTTTGGATGAATAAATCATATGCACTTTTGAAAGGTAAGGAGTATGATTTTTCAAAAACTCCATTTTTTAAACTATGGGTTTAAAGTTCATTTTCTCATGTATAAAAAGTCATTTTAAGAAAAACAATGGGTAAACGAGTTATCTTGGCCTTGTCTTTAATGAGATAGTCACGTAACACTTTCCTTTTTTCTTTCAGTTGACGTCAATCTTCTCTTTCCATCATCGGTCCTCATCTGAAACTTATTAACATTTTCACACACACGTGAAGGCTTTAGGGTTTTTTAAGTTCATTAAGCAATTGTAGCCAAAAACCAAAAATCAAACAGCTTTAGTTGATGACTTGATGTTGATGTGGGTTGTATTGGAGTTTCTAGGTTTAGGAGTATAGGTGAGAGGGTGTTATGGGGTGCCTTCGAATGTTTGGTAACAATGTTGTTTCAAGGGTACTTATTGATCGTATAGGCACTTGGATTTGTGTTGAACTTTTGTTTGCCTACCATTGTTTGTGATTTAATTTCTTTCGCTGTTTTTATTGATCAAATGTTAGGGACTATAAAGAGAGACTAATGGGTCTTCTTATGGATAACATGAATCTATGGGATTTGTTGATCATAAATGGAAACTAGGGTCAGTTGTAATCATGTCATTAGGCCCTAGATTACACTTTGGGCAACGTCCCAAATTTCACAATAAATTTTTCATTTTTAAAATAGAATAAACATCCATTTTTTATAAAGATATAATTAATGTAAAACTATTTGTTCATAAACTATAATCTAAAATCACAATTATAAGGAAACTCAACACGGAATATCGAATCATAAAACCGTTGATGTGCGTGTACAGTCCCTCCTTCGCGATCTGATAAGTAGTTGGAAACATTTAAGCATACATCCACAAATATAAGCCAAAGCTTAGTAAGTTCCCCAAAATACCACATACAACAATATACATATAAGCATACATTCAACGAGTGTCTAGGCTCATAACACTTTAGTTGATCTTGCCATCAACTCGACCCTTGTGAATGTCTACACTCATAACACTTTATTTGATCATGTCATCAACTCACCATTGTGAATGTCTAGGCTCACAACACTATAGTTGATCTTCTTACCAACTCATCCCTCTTTGGCCCTCAACATAAAGTTGTACTTCCCACATTGTTGGCTATCCGCACAAATCTGGATACATCGGCCCATCACAAATACGTCGACATATGTATAATACAGATAAACAGACATTTCAACATCACAGCTTACAGACTACAGGACTACCTACCTAACAACATACCACAGTCTAACCACATCTGATATTGACATATTTATACATATTTTTAGGCAATATTTTATTACATTTTGATTAATATTTTGGTTATTTGCATAGATAAATGGTACTTATAAGATTTAATTTTAATGTGCAGCCAAAAGGAGCAATCTTGAAGAATAAGGACCAAAAGTGACAAGTGGCAGAACTTTGGAGGATTGAAGAATTAAGGAAAAGAAAATCCCAGCGAAAAGCTAAATCCACGTCGTGGACTTCACTTACACAACGTGGAGGTGGTGATTCTTGAAGATGAGTACACGGAAAGTCGAAGTCCTTGCCAGATAAGGATTCATCCAAATTCACGACGTGGAGTCCTAATCCACGACGTGGAGTGTAAAATCACGAATATTATATATATCCTGGATGCTTACGGATTTAAGGGACTTTTGGGGGAGAATAGAGAGTTCTGAAGACGATTTCCAGAGGAGAATAAGGCAGAAAACGTGAGTATTAACATCAAAGGAAGGAGAAGTGGTGGAAGATCATAACTATTACTTCAAGTTGGTATATTTAAACA